ACGTCAAACTCGATCTACTGCTTCAACAATCCGAGAAATCGCCAAAGGGGGGCCGAAAGTTTACATCAATATGCTAATTGGAATTCCGTATTTGTCAGTTTTGTGGTGTATCTATAGCTGCGTGTTTTAATTAATTACTTTGAAATTTTAATAAATATTTCGATTATTGAAATGAAAAAAAAAATGCAAAATGGGAAAAATAAAACACCTCTTATGAATATTCCTGTAAAATATACTGTATTAATCTATACAGTTCGTTGCGTTCGAAACAATCTTGAATAAAAGAGGGGGGTGCTTGAAAAAAAATCAGCAACAAATCATCTAGAGTTAATTGAATGATTTTCAAAAAACAATAAACTGCAAACCATCCAGTTATATATACATATATACCTGGTATATGCTTAATTGAAAAAGGGGAGGGGATACGTGCACTGATAAAAAGATATGTAATGAAATCAATTAGCTTATGATATATATATGCCTAAATGAATAAAAATGACGCCATGCCACTACTTTATTGCAATACATAAAATTGCAGATCTCAACACTCCCTGGAATAATTTTAGTGCGGACCCCCCCCCCCCCCACACACACACACACACATACACACGTGCGTACATACTTTAAATATAAACAAAGTCAATCTTCTCCACGGAAAGCGCTCAATCAGGGTATCAATAATGACAGTGTTATTAATTATATCTAGTGCAAGTAAGTAGGGACTTACAACTGACTCAATATTTTGTCTCGAAAATGTTCATTGATCATCAAATTGAGCATGATATCAGGCTGATCTTCGACATTTACAAAATATAATCGCTTTGATCAAGCTGTATCGAAATTATTTTGGAGAGAAATAAAATGAATGTCCTTGCATGTATATTACGTTGTCTGAATTATTGTTTTTGGAATAAGTAGCATCTTTCGCCGGTTATTTTTAAAAATAAATTGTACAAATATATTGACCAATCAAAAAAGGGCTTTCCTTAAGAATTTCCAGTCGTATGTAAACTTTCGGCCCCCCTTTGGCGATTTCTCGGATTGTTGAAGCAGTAGATCGAGTTTGACGAGGGATTTTCAATATTTGCAAGTGTGATGCGCCTTTCTGGCTGCACTGTCCGTAAGTTTAGACCTCGAAAGACTGGCCATAGAAAGAATATGGTTGAAGGGAATTTATTTGACGGAGTTTCAGACGAAAATACAAGTGGATGTGGCAGACCTACAAAAATTCAAGATGGCAGCGTTGGGGACATTGGTTTATTATAAGGTAAGGGTATATTTTTTTATTAAAAGAAAAATAAGTAACGTCAGGTGCCTGTGGGTCAGATCTTAGACTGGTGTTTCTTTGAATTTGTTATGCTTACTCAAATTGTTTCCTGTGTTATAAATTAATGTCATTGAGCTTTCCCCAAACTTTACTACTGTCTTTTAACTTGTTTCATTGGTTCATTTATGAAGTGTGGGAGGAGTTGTCAAAGATGAGACGTGCCTGAGTTTGTTTGTAATTCACTCTCACTTTAGGAATTTTTGTGTAAAAATGTAAATTTTGATTTTGTACTTTTAGACTTGAATAAATTCTAAACTTTAACCAGGAATTATCATTTCAAAACAATATAATTATTACACTACATCATAAACAAAACCAAACTGCAGTTACATCAAATGCTCCACTTTTTTTATAATCCCAACATCTTTAATTTGTTGGGGGGAAAGTATTTTTCAATAAATCCATGTTTGATGCTAATATCCGATACCTTAATGATGTTATAGCTGAAGAGGGAAATTTTCTGTTTGTGATATATATCCACAGATGAAAATTATTTTTTTTGGAATATATGAGTATAATAAGTGCTCTTAAAGCATGGATGAAAAAGTGAATTTTTATGGAAATTTCACTAAGTCACAAAACCCTCTGGTTATGTCAAATATAAATACCCTTTTAGAATGCAAAAAAAAATCAAGGCAATTTTATAATCTTCTAACCAAAATAGCACAGAACCTACTGGTAAAAAAGTGGAATGAAAGAATGAAAATTGATTTTTAAATTGCCTTTTAAAGTTACAATAATTATAAACTGCAATGCTTCCAGAATTAATTTTGGAACAAAATTTTGGCCTCAAACTCATATCTATTCAAAATCAAAATCATACACAACAAAAATTATACATTCTTTCAAGTAGAAGAAGAAACAAGTAAATTCAAAGAATTGTGGTCCCCCGCTTTCGGTATTTTTGTGGGCAAGATATCATTTTTAGGGTCAAGGTCAATAGGTCAAAATTTTTGGTATCCCCTGAAAGGTCTTGCCATAAAGAATACATATATTTAAAATATGAAAGTCCTAGTTTCTACCGTTCAAAAGTTGTGACCAAGGTTAACGTTTTTAAAAAGTAGTTAAAACTCCAAGGTCAAGGTCAAAGGGTCAAAGTTCTTAGCATGCAATAAAAGATCTTCTCACAAGGATTTCATAAGTGTAGTACGAAAGTCCTAGCCTGTACCGTTTAAAAGTTATGGTCAAGGTTAAAGTTTTTTCAGAAGAACGTAAATCTCCAAGGTCAAGGTCCAAAGGTCAAAGTTGTTGGTATCCAATGAAAGGTGTTGCCCCAAAGAATACATGTGTGAAATATAAAAGTCCTTTTATCTACCGTTCAAAAGTTGTGACCAAGGTTAACGTTTTTTAAAAGTAGTTAAAACTCCAAGGTCAAGGTCAAAAGGTCAAAGTTCTTGGTATCAAATGAAAGGTCTTCTTACAAGAATAAAATATATGAAGTATAAAAGCCATAGCCTTTACCGTTCAAAAATTATGGTCAAGGATAAAGTTTTTTCATAAGTACGTGAATTTCCAAGGTCAAGGTCAAAAGGTAAAAGTTGTTGGTATTCATTGAAAGGTCTTGTCACAAAGAATAAATATGTGAAATATGAAAGTCCTAGTACCTACCATTCAAAAGTTATGGCCAAAGTAAAAGTTTGGAATTTTTTAGTAAAAGTAGTTGAAACTGCAAGGTCAAGGTCAAAAGGTCAAATTTGGTGGTACCGAAAGAAAGGTCTTATCACAAGGAATACACATACGAAATATGAAAATTATAGCTCCACTAAATCAAAAGTTATGGGCAAGGTTAAAGTTTTTGTGACGGACGGCAGTACGACGGACAGACGGACAGACAGACGGACAGACGGACAGACGAATGAGATTTAATGTCCCCTCGCTTTCGCGAAAGCGGGGGACAACAATCGAACATTTCCTTGGGGAGATGTGATTATGGACAAGACTTTTAAAGAGAATTTGAAAATTACCTTGAAAAAAAAAACAAATCTTCAGATATCGGTAACAAAAAATAATTTCATTTTTGGATTCTTAGATAATAGGAAGAAGATACAAAATAATCTCATTCTATGGCTTAAATATTATATCTACACAACAAGGTGCACGGGAAAACACTTAATGTAGCTGCTGCGATATCGCTTATGGATATATTTCATGAAACTCTAAAATATATTGCATACAAAAAAGGTGAAAAGGATATGTTTGATACCTGCTGGAACTACTGGAAGCTTTTATTTCAATGACTTTTTAGATTGATATAAATATTGTAAATGCATGCACTCCTATTCTGTTTCTTCCCCACATATTCTATCTTCTTCCCCTCTCCTCTCTCTCTTTCTCTCTTTTCTAATTGAAAAAAAATTACACCTTCTGTATTTGTTATTGATCATTTATTGTATTAAATAACAGAATGTGTAAAACAAAAATAAAGAATTATAAAAAAAAAGGAGTATTTTATGCGAAGAGAGGCAGGTAATGAGAACAAGAGGCCCATGGGCCACATTGCTCAGCTTTGACCATTTGGTTCTTTACCAGATTCCCCCTTGTAATACATATTGTGACCCCACCCTACCCCACTGATCAGAATTTAAACAATTTGAAATGACACTACCCCAGTATGCTTCCATATAAGTTTCAGCTTTGATTTTCAGATTTTTTCTATATATTTCTAAGAAAAACATTGACTCCACATTGTGGCCCCGCCCAACCCCCGGGTGTCATGATTTGAACAATTTAAAATCTACACTACCCATGGATACTTCCACATAAGTTTCAGCTTTTCTGGCCCAGTGGTTCTTGAGAAGAAGATTTTAAAAGATTTTTCCTTTATATTTCAATGTAAAACTTTGATTCCCCATTGTGGCCTCTACCTATCCCCGGGGGTCATGATTTGAACAATTTAGAATCTACACTACCCCAGGATGCTTCCACATAAGTATCAGCTTTACTGGCCCAGTGGTTCTTGAGAAGAAGATTTTTTAATAACCCAACCCTATTTTTGTCTTTTCTTGATTATCTCCCCTTGCGAGGGGATATGTCCCTTAATTTTAACAATTTAAATTCCCCTTCACCCAAGAATGCTTTGTACCAAGTTTGGTCGAAATTGGCCCAGTGGTTCTTGAGAAGAAGTCGAAAATGTGAAAAGTTTACAGACGGACGGACGGACGGACGACGGACAAAATGTGATCAGAAAAGCTCACTTGAGCCATCGGCTCAGGTGAGCTAAAAAAGTTACAAACCTTCTCTCTTCCTATGTATCGACCAAAAAAGATATATTTAGAAATGGCTTATAAGGACAAGCGGGTTACATTACCATTTCAAGTAATGCTTATTAGATTACCAAAAATGGACCGGTCTCCATGTACATGTACCACAATATGAGTCGAACCCATGACGTAAGGACTAATTTCTTACTTTGCGACTCTAGGGCAGACGCTGTAACAGCTGCGCGGGCGAAAAAGTACAAGACAGGCTAAGACCTCATTCTTTTGGCCCCTGGTTTGGGACGTGGTCAAGAATAATGTAAACATTTTTTTTTATATTTGAGTGTTTTATGAATGACATGAACATGTATAGACTATATCGTCAAACTAGCAACAAACAGCTTTTCAATCCTTTTTGAACTAACAAGCCAGCGTTTGAATTCATCGTTTTAATGAAATATGACTAATAATCTTACCCAGTGATATAATATAGCAGTATGAAGTGTTGTAAACTGGTCCATCTAAATTGTGCACAGTTATGTTGATTCTATCATCCTTTTTTACAGAAAACGACGCCGATCCGGCACATCGGAAGACATGATTCTGGTTTCCATCGTAACTGACCACGTGGATTGCAGATCCACAATTGGGTGAGGGTGTTCTTTCAGGAACAAAATATATTTCTCCAGGAAATCGCACGTGCACCGTGCAGGTGCAGGACTGGAGGTAGTACAGACTAGCGTTGTGAACATCCAGATAAATAAAGCTTGAAAGATAATTATCTGGCAAACACATACTGGTTACTGCAAAAAAGAAAATTAAGAAAATTCTTGTGAATGATAACTCATGTTCTTTCCTAGGAAAGATCTTTTGAATCAATATTTTTAATAAGATGTAACTATACGTACCATGCAAGGATGTTTCCGAACATGAGCGCATTCCTACAAAAATAGCGTGAAAATGTATGCAATTGCAACATGGAAATTTTGTTCTATATTACACGTGTAAAAACATCTTTACATCTGATTTCATGGTAATATCTAGTATGGAGATCTTTTAACAATCTTATTGAATTCCGATAGGCACAAATTGCGTACATTTCTAAGGCAACTAGTAATTTTAAAAAAAAATATTTTAATGCAGCTGAATTTATTCAAAGCCTTCTCCAGGAAAAGAACAAATCTTTTGACATGGTCTTCAACTTATCTTTTATATAATTATATCCATTTTAACTCTAATGTTGACACCCTATATACTAGTGAACTTTAAAGAGAACATCAAAGACTCGTCATATTAATTTTTGTTTTCATGCTATAAGATTTTTATGTGAAATGTTATGACCGTCTGACAACTAAACTATATGACTAACTTATAATATGTATCTAAAGCTTTTCTTTCGTCAACTTCCCTAAAATAATTCAGGTCAACTTCATAGTATTTCTGTATCGCCTGCATATAACGTTTACTGATAAGATACGCAAGAGAATGTTTGGATTACGGCCTTTTTTCCTGGCTGTGTGAGACAATTAACAAATAAATTGATATTATAGAGTTTTTAGTAATCTAGTTCAAAGGCAGTAATTTAAAAAAGTCTATTGTGGATAATGACCTTGATAAAAAAAAAAAGATTTGTTGTATTTAGACTGACATGATTCATACCCATTGTATTGGAACTGTTTTAGAGTATGCTCTACCGTTGATTACTCCGTTTACTTGATTTATACAGAGGATTTGACCGGTAGACAAGGGGATGCTTTGTTGTTGTAGGTACCTGATCCCAGCTCTGGTGCTTACAAAGGTCTTTTTTCTGCTTCACACTTGTATTGCTTATACGATTTATGAGAGCGATCATATTGGCTCAGTGATCCATTAATTGCGTATTGAATTTGTATACACGTCATATCGAAAGTGAAACTTAATTTTGTAAAGAATTTTGTAGATTAAAATTCTACAAAAACTGTAAGCATTATATAATCAATGTAATTAACCGAGGATTAAATTTAGATTTGCCCTAGATTATGAAAAAAGATTGACCAATTAGGTTAAATATTTTATGAATGAATCCTACGTAGCTGTGCCTCTATATGAGATTTTAACTATACAATGGTCTAATCATTAATGGATCTGATTCCAGACATACAAACTAGTTCAAGCTTTGATAAAGAAAAAAAAACTTCACACTTACCTGCTATTCTCAATAAACCGTTATAGATCGATAAGCAAATAAAAGACAACCCTAAAACGAAGACCATCCCGTATGGCCAAAAGTACCTACATTGATTTTTTAACACATATCCTTATACAGAAGAAATATGTTTTATATTTAAAACAAAAGCGGTAGGTCTAGTTTCGTGACATCATTATCGTACCAATCTTAAATACCGACACGCGATTTTGGCGAGATGTTTTGTTATTTATCCAGAGGATGTATGTATTATAAGTTGATCAGTGTATGAAATATATGGAATAAGGCGTTTCTTTTGCACAAATAGATACTTTGATTCAGTGTAATATCCATGCAAACCTATCATTAAGGAAAGGCTGCGACGTGCACGTATTGTTTGTTTCTCTTGATAGCAAACGTTTTCTTAAGAAGCTGAAAATGTATCAATATTTCAATCTTTCAGGTCTGTTTAAAACACACAAACATTTAATAAATGTACTTTTACGTCCTGAAAGAAACCCTCTGTGCTTCATGTACGAAGGACCTGAATATGGCTAACATTGGATAAAATGATAATGTAAACTGACCTTGAAAACTTAAACAGTTCATGAAAGCTATTGAAAAATAGTCATTTGAAGTTTTTGCTAAGATTATAAACAAAGGAATACTTTCCCAAATCAATTTCACAAGATTTTCAGCTCTTTTATTAATTTCCTTTTTGAAAAACGTATCCTCCGATTATCAAACAAGGCACTGTCTTTCCACATATCAGCAATGACAATGACGATAGTGTTGGGAATCTTTCCAGTCCACAGTGTAGAGATCTGAATATGAGGAGAGGTTTAACAGTATCAACAGAGAAGTTAGATAATTACGTGGACCCTGAGGTCCACGCAGTAAATACATAAGCGAGGTTAAACCGGATGCCATGGGCAAACGACAGGTTACGCATGCGCGAGAATGCTAGAGAGTTCGCAACCTTAGGCAACTTGCCCGTAGAATAATTCGCCCTATTCGAATTAGAATATCCCATTCATTGGCAAATCGCGCTTTTAAATCCGCATATCGTATTTACATATTCATTGGTGGATCCGCATTTCTCTTATATATATATATATATACTTTATATACAAATATAACTAAATCATTGATTCTATGACACAATCTTTTTAAAAAATAGGAAGAACTTGCAGTATACAGATACATGTAACTTAACAACTTGAATAAAAACGTCATTCAACGACTAGTTCTATCTTTTAAGAGAGAACACGTTTTCACCGGCTTTAGTTTTGTGCACCAAGGCTCGCAAAATAATTTGATACTATAGAAATCCATCTAAATTTTGATAGTGGTATGTAGCAACGGTTTTTAATGTAGGGGAGGGGGGGGGGGGCTCCGACAAAAAAACTGCGTACTACAGAGCTCTGCTACAAGTGAACCATCAGATATATTTTTCCCATGATAGACTTCTTCCGTAGAAATCCAGAACAGATGTCAAGTCCCAGCCACTAGAGGTTACATGTATAAAATAGCCCGATTTTTTAAGTTGACAAAACTAAAGGCTTATCAGAGATAAATTTTAACAATTTTGCCAGACTACAATCAGTCATAAGTAGGCTGATCATTGTAGAAATATTCTACTACATGAATATTCACTACACCTAGAAATTTTCTTAAATTGAATTAAGGTTAGAAACGCATGCATATGGTCCACGTATTGCAGTCCTTTTTTTAAAGGACAGCTTAAACACTCTATGGGGACGTTTACTCTTAAATGGCAACTAATCCAATTTATGACGTTTTAGAGAACCTTATGTGCTCTTTTATAAGTTTTTATTTTAGTAAACTTTTATGCTTAGTTACTGATCAATACCTCCAAATTGTATGAGCCTATTAAAACTTATCAGTTTTATTGAAGGTTATGTAAAAGATAAGAATTCATCAATCGTTCTAAACATTGCACGACAAAATGTGAAGATAACAAAAATGCATCAAGCTAAAAAGTTTATACCGGTATAAAGAAAACAAATTGTTACTACAGCTAGATGAACCTCTGGAAACAGGGAATGTATCAGGTTCCTTAGAGCAACCCCTGTTGAGCGGTTACACCCACAGCCTGTTTTTTGGTACAGTCACAGTGTGTTTTTTGGAACACCCATAGCGTGTTTTTTTAAAAAATAATATTTAGCTTTTCAACATGTAATTATAGACATGTGCAAATGTCCAGTTCTTGACATTTTGCATTATGTGTACAAAAAAACATTGTCAATAATCTGCCTAATTTAAGAAATTCTTTATATTATATGTAAGAAGATGCTCTTTGATGCCTGTATAGTCACCTGGAAGACGTAAATTTCATATTCAGGTGATGGTATTCGATACTTTTCGACAGACACTTTACGCCATACTTCGTGTTCATTTTTCATTTCAAAGTGTGCTACTTGAATGATTTGTGCGATAAAAGACGTCTGATAACGATAATGCATTTTCTGTGTCCTCACGAACAATCTACTACATTCCTTGGAATGGTTTGTTAAAATGAGGGTATTTCATCAATATTTTGGAGCTTTGTTAATCTTTACCGTCCGTGGAAACACGGAAAATGATACCAAATCTCTGGATAATGTGATTGATGAACTTAAATATCTACGCCAAGTTGTTGAAGATCAATCCGTGCATAATGCAGTCTTTGAGAAAAAAATTGAAGAACTCCAAAAGGTTGTAAAGGACCAAGAAACCCAAATTAATGAATTGAACCCAATGCTACACGAAAACCTGTAGGCATATCCGATTTATGTGTAAAATTGAAGCCTAGTCGAACAGGTGGTCAAAATGACGTTGCACACGTTGTGTATTTATATATAGAGGGGAAAACAATGTTCCGATATTTGTCTAATTTAAAGATTTCAATGATAAAAATTCAGGTGCCTGTGATTAATTATAAGGCACACCTCATGAACAATAAATATTCGACCGAATTATGCTACTGGGCAGGGAGGAGGGGTTAATTACTGGCTAAAGGGGTTGAAGGTTATTGACTGCAAAACACCGGAGAATCTCTGGATCAATTTTTCCAAAATATTAAGGCATCCCTTTAGTATACGAAGAAAACCTTTATATAAAAATACTCAATACATCATTCTGTAAGTTGTACAGTTATGGATTACTTCCATAATTTTTTCTTCTTTTTTTCTTAATTGAAATCATTTAAAAGATGATAAAAGCTTTCTTCCAGGGATAAATTCTGTATATCAGTCTACTTAATATAATGATTTTTTTCAGATCACATTTTTATTTTTTAAAGAAATAATGGGAGCTTGAAAATATTAAAATTAATTTTTAAAAAATGGGAAAAAAATTAATCGGCATTGGATCCTTTTCTAGAAATCAGCCGATATAAAATATGCACAAAAAAGATGCATGAAAAATCTGGACAATTAGCACAAATTGAAAATTATATCTCATGAATGATTATTTTTGAAAGATTTCTGTGCAAGGTATAAGTTGTAAAAATACTTTTTAAATTTGAATTTGTCAAATTATATTTAATTCTCATTTTAAGCCTTTGAGAAGAAATAAAAATTAAAATACAGATGCTTACAGGCATATTGATAGAAATTCGCATACTTGTTTTTAGTAAAAAAAAAAAAAAAAAAAAAAAAAAAAACAAACAAACAAACAAACAAACAAACAAAAAAAAACACAATGTATTGCTTATGCGACATATTGAGGAAAGTGACAATGATACCTAGGTAATTCTTGCAATGGACAATTTGATGGATTAAACAACAACTTTCCTTTTCATGAAAAATATTTGCCAAATACTCAGTATATGTTCGTTTATACATATCGTGCAAGACTCTTTTTTAAATAATTGTCATATACCATTTACTTATTCGAACATTTAATTGTATGAAAAGTCAATAATGTACATTTCTTAAAACTTTATTATCTTGTTTACTTGTCTTTCTTCCTGGGAGAGAAATAGTTCATAATATTAATAAACAGATGTGCTCAGTATCTGTATCAAAATAGAGAATGAACAGTGATCGGTCTCAAAAGAAAAACGGATCCTTGAAATTTCCGGTGCCTGGGAGAAGTAAGCATCCCCAATGATAGGTCACACCTGCTGACCCGCAGTGAGCCTACGAAACTGAAGCTATCTGAAATTGATTAATTCTCTGCTCGTCCATCCGTTTTTCTCAGATACTAGCCAGCTAAAAAGATCTATGTACAGTACTCCAAACCAATTAATCTGAAGAATTTGAATTATCATTTTATTTTATTTTTGAGTTGTTTGCTATAGTAGCCTTTACAGTTACCTAATTTCAGAATCAATAAGAGCATGAAATCCAATTAAATTTGCAACATCAACATGATTTTTTTTCGTTCTGAGCACTTTTGGACGCCACCAATGGAGACAATTAGGCAGAAATTTTTGAAATTGAACTTCCTGTCTTTCAATCTGAAAATCTCAGGTTGATATTTGAAACAAACATTTGTGACACCAGTCTGGGATGTTATTTTACCATTTAGTTAAGTACTACAAAATTAAGTGTGTCTGCTTCTTTGCTGATGACACTGGAAAAAGATATGCATGCCTACTTTAATATCATGATTCAATGCATTTTTTGTTATTGTACACTGTGCATATTCGATGAAAGCATGCTAACCGCTTTTCAGTACTTTCAGTACTTTGATTTATAAACCGCTTCGCGGTTTATATAGGATTAAACGTTCTTTTTTCAGAATTTATCGATGTGTAAACTCTGCCTTTTTACTCACAAACTGAATAAAAGTGCGAAGCACTTTTATGTAAAGTTTGTGAGTAAAAAGGCAGAGTTTACACATCGATAAATTCTGAAAAAAGAACGTTTAATTCTTATAATTCCAATTACGAAATTTTTAAATTATTTAAATTATTTCCCTTTGAGGCCGCCATACAATCCGTTATTTTGTACGGCGTAGGAATACTTTATGCCGCAAAGAAACGTATACAAGATGAATATCGATAAAATCCACCCTAAATTGTCAAAACAATCAATAAATAAACTTATATAAACTCATTGATTGTTGTTTAAGTCAACAAATATCATAAATACACGTATTCTCCAGAATAATTCGTGTTTGACCATGGCCATGTTGACATAAACAACAACGTCATAACGAAAGTAGCAGACCGACGACTTCCTCGATTTGCTCTGGTTCGTTCAAAGATTTAGGGAGAATATGGGATCTGTAGGATGTATTAATCTCTATTTGCAGTTTTGACTAATTTTACCCAGATCCGCCACGACATATTGTACCTAATGTATTATGGTGAGTTGAGATTAAGATATGAATTGTTTTAACATTAGAAATATCATGATAAAGTAGATTGATGTATATTGTCTTCGTATATAGACCTAAAAAGTTTTAACTTCTTGTTTACTGTTGTCATTGTGGATGTGGCTTATGCAGAGATCTGCAGTCTGCCAATTCGAACTGGAAAGAAATGTGAGATAGATTTTATAGGACCAAAGGAAGAATATGTACATTGTATTATTTATATACATTGTACTTGCATCTTGACTGAAAACAAATTCTATGGTTTTTGAGAACAAGATAAAAAATTATGATATAAATTGAAGAAAATCTCTATAGGTAAAGAAAATATTTTCTAAAAAAATTATTGATTACCTACAATAAATTGTCACTGTGCTTCTGTTATTCTGATCAAATTCCAGTGTTGAAAAAGGCATTCTGCAAATCAAAAAGCAACACATTGTACATGCATTCATTTTGAGCAAATTATGTATTCTTAAAGTTAAGCAACTGATAAAAAAACCCAATGTTTTTTGAAAAATAACTTTTTCAAAATATCTACTCTGTTTTAATATTTGATAATTCATGAAGGTGTTTTTATAATTGTAGAATTTGCTGCAGTTGGGCTCTTATTTTTATGCAGTCTTACTATGCCATCCAAACCCCCTACCCCACCAAGTATTTCAGCCTCGACACAACGTGTGGAGTATAGAAAGGCATTATTGACTATTGGTCGGTAAGTTCTAAAGAATGAGAATACTTAAAATTTTCAAATAAATATAAAGGGCAAGATACCCTAAGACCTTTTTTTGGTCCATTGTTTTAAAGGTGCATGTTCCAAAGAAGAATGCAATAGTTTAATATTTTTATAAAAACCTGTTGCCATCCATGTTAGAAAATGAGAAAACAAGCTTGCTTATCTATCAAATTCATAACAATCCCAGATACATGGAGGTAAGCTCAGATAAGTGAAAATTAAGTATCCCAAATTTGCCAAAATTTCATCTGACAGAACTAAAATTGTCCTACTTTTGCATCTTCTTGTGGCCTCTTTGTAAGCATTTGAATCATTATTGATGCTTTTAAAAGAAGCTACATTCAAAGGTTTTTAGCTCACCTGAGCCAAAGGCTCAAATGATCTTTTCTGATCACATTTTGTCTGTCGTCCGTCCGTCCGTCTGTCTGGCTGTCCGGCTGTCCATCCGTCTGTCCGTCTGTAAACTTTTCACATTTTCGACTTCTTCTCAAGAACCACTGGGCCAATTTTGACCAAACTTGGTACAAAGCATCCTTGGGTAAAGGGGAATTTAAATTGTTAAAATGAAGGGACATATTTCCTCGCAAGAGGATATAATCAAGAAAAGGCAAAAATAGGGTGGGGTCGTTAAAAAATCTTCTTCTCAAGAACCACTGGGCCAGAAAAGCTGAAACTTATGTGAAAGCATCCTAGGGTAGTGTAGATATTAAATTGTTCAAATCATGACCCCCAGGGGAAGGGCGGGGCCACAATGGGGAATCAAAGTTTTACATAGAAATATATTGGAAAAATCTTTGAAAATCTTCTTCTCAAGAACTACTGGGCCAGAAAAGCTGAAACTTATGTGAAAGCATCCTGGGATAGTGTAGATTCTAAATTGAAAATATCATGACCCCCGGGGGAAGGGTGGGGCCACAATTGGTAATCAAAGTTTTACAAAGAAATAAATTGGAAAAATCTTTGAAAATCTTCTTCTCAAGAACCATAGGGCCAGAAAAGCTGAAACTTATGTGGAAGCATTCTTGGGTAATGTAGATTTTAAATTGTTCAAATCATGACCCCCAGGGGAAGGGTGGAGCCACAATGGGGGGATCAAAGTTTTACATAAAAATATATAGGAAAAATCTTTGAAAATTTTCTTCTCAAGAACCACTGGGCCAGAAAAGCTGAAACTAATTTGCACATGGAAGGATCCTGGGGTAGTTGATTTCAAAATGTCTTAATTATGATCAGTGGGGTAGGGTGGGGATACATAATGTATTACAAGGGGGAAATCTGGTAAAGAACAGAATGGTCAAAGCTTCTCAGGTGAGCAATGTGGCCCATGGGCCTCTTGTTATTGCAAACTATCATAATTTAGTCAGTATTTTGATTTTGACATCAAATAAGGGCCGACAGCTGATTTTGGCTGTTGCTACGTACATCTTGATCTTTATTGAATCGATCTCTCTGAAAAAAATCTTAATATTCTGATCGATATAATTAATACCGTAATTAATTTCTGTAGATGAAAATTTGATATGTAGAGAGTAAGTATAATAAAGATTTTTGTAAATTTAATGCATGTGTATACCCTTATATTACTGAAATAAATATAGTTTCCATGACTTATTTTTTTTAAGTAGTAAAAGGGCATATACTGATAATATACTTTAAGAAGATAATATTTTATACAGCTCCATGATACTGACACTTTTAAACAAGTTAAAAGGAAAAATGGTAACAGACTTCTTTTGGAACCTTTTCTACTAATAAAAACCTTCAATAATATCTGTACATAATAATGTATGAAACACTCAGGAAACCGTATTACATAACACAATATCACCAGAGTTCTTGTTAATCAATAGTTCAAAATTAAAAAAAATCTGCACAGGAGTGATGAAACATATGCATATACAGATTGAAAAAATATATTCAAAACCTGTAGATACTTTTTTGTTTGTTTATGTAATTAAAGTAAAATTTAATCATTATTATGGTCTTCCATCTTCAGTGGAAGACCCTTCTATTACATGTTTTCTATTGTTTCTTTTAAGGGTCTTTTGTCCTGATCAAAAATAGATGGAAGACCAACTGGTTTCTCACAACAAGATTGAATCTAGTTATCATTATGTGTATAGTTCAGGCCCAAAATAAAAATAGTCTTGTTTCCTGCTACACGACCTACTCTATTTTTTGCACCCGACCCTAAAGTTTTTATTTATTTTTTTTTTTTTTTTTTTTTTTTTTTTTTTTTTTTTTTTTTTTTTTTTTTTTTTTTTTGGGGGGGGGGGAATCAGAAATTTCCTGTTCCTAAAGTGAAAAATATATATTCAAGTGGTATTTCATGAATTATAAGTTTTGAATATAGACTTATAAAAATAATAATAGATTAAATAATAAATATGAAACACTACTTATTTTAAATGAAAATATTGACCTATGACATGTTTAATTTGGTTTTGTAATAGTTCCTATCCAACAAATATCATTGGAAAAAAAATAAAATTAAATTAAAAATAAAATAATTTTCCTACCTACCTATCCAATTTTTTTTTTTCAGGCTGGTAGCAGGAAACAAGACTTTTATTTTTTTTTGGCCTTATTATAAATATAAATGAAGATTTTGCTTGAAAAAAGAAGGGGTATTCTGAAACTTACAAACCCTTCCCTCCCCCTTTTTAAAGAGTTTTTAAAAGATCTTCCTTAAATAATAAAAAATAAAATTAAATGTTGACCTGTAAAACATTCTGAGTTTCAAAGTGATGGTGGAAAGGTAATTCATGATCATAATTTTTTCAACAGAAACAGAGCAGTGTGGTTAATTGGACTGGCTTATGCTTTGCCAGCAGGGGTATATGGGGTGTGGGGAGCAGTCATTGATGTCATACTGAAACCTGTAGGAATTGAGCAGGTAAGAATCAAACAAAATTGTATGTTAATAATAAATATTTATATATGTATACTTGTAAATAAACTTCAAGATTGCTTGAATTCAATATACTGATACTTTTATGAAATATATTTGTTTTAGACTGAGGTTGGATGGATTGGGTTTTACTCTATAATGGCAGGTTGTGTCTCAGGTCTAGCCATTGGAAAGTAACTAAATGTATTGAATTTATGTAGAAATATAAAAATGACTTGATGAGAACATTCTCTAATTGTAATTGATGACAGATTTTCAGATGTATTTATGCGGCATATGAAGCTCTTCCTCTTGGTAATGTTTGGTGTGGCTGGAGGATCTTTTGTGTGGTTCACCCTTATGTGTGTCAAGGTCATACCTCTCTCCACAGGTATAATATAGCTGATAAGTTTAAAGACAAGGAAATCAATTTTTTGTGTGCAAATATTTTAAATTTGCAAACCAAAACCTTAAGGAAATCAATTTTTTGTGTGCAAATATTTTAAATTTGCAAACCAAAAATATTTTTATTTCGATTTGAACTAAATATTTACATCTCTTACACAGATGGTGTAGTAAGTGTGTTTTCAATATACAGTAATAATTTAATTTCACTTGTATCAAGCAATTTCATTGGCTGAATCATTCAGAGGAACAAATAATATTTTGGATAACATAACTTGCCTACGTCACAATGAGTTACGTCAAAAATGTATTACTCCGCTTGACGTTACTTTTAAAATAATGCTCAACTTGAAGTCTTTTTCCGGAGTAAATATTGTCTCATTGTCTACACTGGAATTAAATTATAAGGAATGAAGCTTATTTCAACTTCTGTTATCCGATATAACAAAACTTGGGGCAGTTTACGCTTTTTTATAAACCGCTTCGCGGTTTATAAAGCGTAAACTGCCCCAAGTTATGTTATATCGGATAACATAAGTTGAAATAAGCTTCATTCCTTAATTCTATCCAACTACGTATTTTATAGGTCGCAATGGGTTTACATAACACCAACAAACGACTGTAATACCGTATTAGTTTCTTAAAAATAAATAATTCTTACATTATGGAATAATTTTCACACCATGTTTTTTTTCTCTTAACACGCGACGTTGTTTTACGTGGAAAATAGGGATAGAAGGGGTGGGGCGGGTAAAGGCGACAAAATTGCGATTTTCACTAATATCATGTAATACATGTGTATAGAAAAATGAAATATTTCTATAAAAGATTTACAGACTTATTTTATTTTTTAAAACTGAAGATAATCCATGCATATTTAAGTCTGCAATAAAAAGAGTGTGTATAAACACTTCAACATGTTCAAAGAGAGAGACTAAAATCGTTTACTTTTAGTTGCAGTGTTTGTGTTTTTAAACTCACAAATTTAAATAAAACAGGATAAAATTAATGAATCTGTACCAAAAAATTGATTCCTCAAAATTAGTTAGGTTCCAAAGTTGTTTATTAATTTAAATATTAAAAAAAATTATAAAAATGCCAGCTTTCAGTGCATAGTCTATAGAGCTACCAGGTAAGCAAGATCAACGAAACATTTAGCGCAATTTGAAATATATTCATTTTAATTGTGACTTTATTCTTATCCATTGTGACGGCAGTCAAGGATATTGTGACGTGCTTGGGTCGACACTGAGTTAAAACGTTTGCGCAGATCAAGTAGATCGGGCCTCGTTAAATTTAATGTCTTGAAACTTTAGCCTCACATACTTTTACTCGGAGAATATTTTCCGTTATGATTTTACAGGAATATTAAATATAGGTCTTAATTTATATTTTTAGAACAAGTTTTACAACTTCCCTCAACAAACTTTGCCAAGAAATGAAGATATATTAAAAAAGTCAAGATAAAATTTACACCATTTTTTGCCTGAAAATCACATATTTTGACCAATATTTCAAAATTAACATCACTGACCCCACCTTTTTCTTTCATTATTTTAAACTACTCGATACTTGTGACTGAGCAGTACTTAACTCCTAAAAAGCTTGATATAAGAAAATATTTTATTGCCTTTTTAGTTTTTTAATACCCCAAATATGTTATTTTTTAGTGCAAAAGGTCACACAATAATAAACGCGCATTAATTTGCAAAATTTGTTCAATGAGAGATATTATTCAAACTATTTAATGTAAAATAAGATTAAATTTGTTAACGTAGTAACATCTGATAAAATAAAATTAGAGATAAAGTAATAAAACAAGAGTTAAACTATAATTAACTGCAAAAAGGTCAACTTAATTGTACCATAGATCAGAAAGATGCACACTGACCCCCTATTTTCTTTGCGTTTTTGAGTCATACTTTATGAGTACTTATCCAAAATATACTTCCCAAAAATCCTTGATTTAACAAACTTGTCGAGTGACTTACCTTAAGCATCATGGGTGAAAATCGCATGGCTAAGCAAAATTTCATTTACCAACATATATTCTGGTAAATGTTATAATTGAACTTTCTAAGAACTTGCTGGTGTGATTTATTCCTCCGTGAACAATTGCATTGTGCATTTTTTTTATCGAGATAAAATTGTGAAGGTTGTTCACGGTAAATATGTGGGGAATACCTTATTTTACAAAAGTCTTCATCATACTTCTAAACATTTTTTGTTAAAAAAATCTTTTTGAGGAAAAAAACAAGAGCAAATGTTTTCTTCTATTTGTTGTTTGAACGACGTTCGATCCTGATATGTAAAGTCTTAAACTTTTTTTTGCCAAGTTTATTTTTAGTTTCTACTTACATAGCTTCATTAAAATTCAGATCAAAAAAATGGGGATCTTTTGGCGCTACAGTACATTTGATATGACCTTATTGCACTGAAATTGGTGTCGTAGTTAAAAATTAAATTTTTGACTATTTCCCTCCAATATTTTTATCCAATTAATGCAGGAAACAACATGAACTCTTAGTCTGTTTAAAAAAGACACTTAAAAATTGTGACTTGGAAAAAGTTTTAAATTGCTTCCCATTATCAATTATTTGACCTTTCTGCACTAATAAAATGTTATTTTTCTGGCATTGAATATTTAATTAACAAGAAAATTATTTTAAAGTCTTATACTTTTTCTGATTTTAAGCAAATAGGCCAAATTTATCTTGAATATTTAGAAAAGAACATCAAAAGTGGGGGTATATGATGTAAATTTTCAGATATTACTTAAAAATTTTCAATTTTATGTTAAAATTGGTTCAATTTTCCCCCGGATTTTCAGAATATATTTACTATATTTGTCACATTTTGTTGATAAATTCATTGGAAATATAGATATTTCAGAACCAGCATAACACATTTCACTGCAAAAAACAGCTTTGTTTGCAACCAGGATGCAAAAATAGGAATGGAAAATTAACAGTACTGTTATAGCTCAAAATTGCAAAAACTGATCATTTTCGTCTAAAAAAACCTTCCGCCACAAAATATAGTCCCTAGCTTAATTCTACTTGAATGGAATTAAATCGCGATTTTTTCATTGAATATAGTTACATTTGCACTGTAGAATTCAAATTAAATGTAAGAACTTATAAATGATGCAGAATTTTATGAATAAAGGACCTGACTGAAATGCTTTCAAAATCTCACGATCGAACGTCCTTAAAATATGTCTTGGAGTGTTGTCTGATTGGACGGAAAAATAATTACCTTTACATGTACATGATGTATATTTATAGCAACGTTCAATTATTGTTCTTGACTTTAAAATTTGAAAATCGTTCAGACCTGTTTAATTGTTTCGTCTAATAAGGGGTCAGATTTACCGTTATTCGTATTTAAGTCCTTTACTACCTGAATATGATTCTACTAAATGGTTTCTAGCTGACTTGAGAAAGGGCACCCAATGCGAAACAGAGTTACAGTTCTGAACCGACAAAAAAGTTAAACGGGGTCACAGCTCTCAATGCTGTGGTATTACCATTACCTTGCACTACTGGGGTTAGGTACAGAACAGTAACACCAGACCCAATAGCAGAAGGATAAAACGTACACTCAAATAGGACCTTAGGTCCCCTGCTCAGTTCACGACTATCGGGCCTGTTTACTCCGCTATAAAATGTTGTGTGTTGCGTACTTGAAGTGAAAATAAAATAAATCGTTCTACTGTGAAGCTCTTACAGTGTAAAAAAAAAAAACATGAAAATTTATTTTTTTCAAAGGAATAACCATCTGATGGGCATTAGAAAAATAACAAGAGGCCCAGGGGCCACAGCGCTCACCTGAGAACATCGAGCTTGAATTTACTCCCCCCTTCCAGGCGTTCATCATTTGAACAAACTAGAATCTACACCACCTGAGGATGATTCCATATAAATACCCCGGGTATCACTAATCATAGCTTTGAA